TTTTTTTTTTTTTTTTTTTTTTTTTGATAAGAAACAATATTATTCAATAATGAATAAAACACCAACAATACACGAGATGGCCAAGGAGGCCACCACACAAACAGAAAGGTAAAACTCTACACTACAAAGCTACGGCTTTCCACTCTGTCCCTCTTCTTTGTCCACCTCCCTAGAAAATTCATCCATATTTCCTGCATTTAGAGACCCACTATGAACTACTAGGTTGCAAACCTTAGATGGTCTAACTCCTGACTCCCCAATGCCGAAAATCTCCCCTTGTGACCCCTGGGAGAAACTCTCATGCCTACACAAAACCTCAGGACAAATAGGACTTGCAGAACCAGAATTTGTCCCCTGAAGCCCTTTATCAATGATCCCCACAAGGTCCATGTCATCAGGCATTGGACACTTGGTGGACATTTAAAACTTATAATAACAAGCCATCATCACAAGTGAATTCATATTTACCCTCGTATGCATTGGACACTTGGTGGTGGACATTTAAAACTTTTAATAACAACTCATCATCACATGTAAATTCATTTCCCCCTTATTCTGCATATTATATTTTTCAGCAAGTTTACTAATTTCTTTCCTAGTGATGGATATATAAATTGGATTTGTGATCATTAAGTTAATGATTCCTAGTTAGTAACTACTTTTGTTGTCCACACATGCACGAATCTATATTTGCAGTATTCATTCTTGTCCTGCAAATGTTCCAGAGCTTAACCGTAGGAAAATTTGTAATTGAGAAATAAATCACCTGACCAATTTGAGGACTAAGTAAAACAAAATCGCATATGCAATTAATTAGCTTAGTGCGTCCAAACCAGTCAAGAAGATCACATTCAGCAACTTTGTTCACCACATCTCCAAGATCCATCAAGTTCTGAGATTTTAAAAAATAAAATAGTTATTCAGTGAAAGAATACAATTAACTCTTGCAACAACCATGGAAAGGAATGATTATCGTGATGATTTCTTCATGCGAGGAGCATAATACACAATATAACAGCATTTACTTTCTTTTCAGGAAAAAAATACAAACAAACAAACAAAAAAGAAATTGACAAGATATGTAGCTAGAAAAAAAAAGTATGAGTTGCTATGCAGGACATGTGCAAACTATAATAAGGTTTTTTTTATGAATTGCATGATTGAAATGCAGTAGCAGATAATTGGCTGCCTGTACAGGGCATGAAGGGAGTAGGTTTCATCAAGATTTGATTTCTGACTTGTGCTTCACAAATAGTGTTGTGCTATGTTTCTAAATCTATAGATTTTTTATTATCGAGAATGGAAGTCACTTTGTTTTACTTTACTTTCACATAAAGAAAGAGTGCATAAAACTTATGACTATTTTCTGATACTGCACATATGTATTTATATAAGAAACAAAACTTTATCAAGAGAAAAGGTTAAGTGCATAGGAAGACAATCAACAAATTAAAAGAAAGGGAGCAAATATCAAACAGTCTTCATTTTAATTGTAAAATCGAGCAAGAAAAGTTTGAAAGTACCTGCTTAGATCCTCTTTGCCCCAACGAGACGCCAACAAATTTATCCTTCCTGATAGAGTCCAAGGATGATAAAGCGCCCAGCAAACCATGAATAGCAGATAATATCTTAACACAATCAAGTTTAAGACTGACTTGCATCTTAACCATTTCATTCATTAAATTGACCTGCAAACAAGGCAAGTATAAACCCATGATCCATCAAACTCTATTTTGAAATTAAACCATTAAATACCTAGCCATCTTGTAAATCTGTAACCTAAATTCAGAGGACTTATTAATTACCATGTCTGTAACATTTTCAGGAGATGACCAGTATGGATGTTGACAAAGACTAAGTAGAATTTTTTCCCGCACCTGAGTTGAAATAAAGAAAAAAGAATTCAAAAGGGATGCAGTTATTACATGCAAGGATTACAGAATATCAAACATATGTGGAGAAGAGAAGTGTGTGATACCATCTGATCACTTTCTTTCAACAGGAGTTCAAACAGGACATCCCAGGTAACGTGCAAAACTGGGAAAAAATCTGAAATCAGCAATATCATGTCCAGCTTCCATTTCTCTACAGAAGAGGATACCCTACCGGCAATTTTACCACCAACAGTTAATACATCCACATCTCTGGAATCTTCATTAACATCCAACTCCATGTCCACAATCCTACTTTTCTGGCTACCAGAAGGACAAGAATTTTGTATTTGGGTATCACATGCTGATAAGTCTTGTAGGGCCACGTCAAACTTATGACTACTTACACCATTAGCGTAAACTTCATACACCTTAGCCAGTGCTTTTAAAAACCTCTCCATCAATTGGATGATGGAACCATAAAGTTCAACATCCATATGATTTTGATCTTTCCACCTACTGAAGATAGGGGAGTAAACAAAACTCCTTAAGGAAGCAACAATAGAGCTTGTTCCATTAGAGGCAAAGTCAGAGCCCAAGCAACCAAGAGCCAGAAAATCATTGTGGTTTCCTTGGGTGACATGAACTGCACAGTTGAGCCATTCTAAAAGGTATTGGCCCAATTTTGAAAGGAATGATGAAGCTTCCTCTCTTTGCCTGGAATAAACCAAGGCAGGTATGGTATAAATAGGGTAGAGCATGTGAACAATAAGAAACAGCCAACAATATAAAGGTAAAGGTCAGATGTTGATGTCCGCAAAATGTATAAATCCAACCACAACGTGAAATAGTTTCAACTGCAAATTTTTACAGCATGGCATAACAGACACAACATCAGGAATCTGGATCAGTATGTAGACATAAGGGGTATACTGCACAGTGTTGAACATAACATGTCTACAACCCCAGAAGTACACTACGCGGCCCACAAGTGCAACACTGACTCAAATGCGGGAAAAACTCATAAAGACAGCCAGGATGAATGGCTGCTGAAAAGGTCACATCATAATTTTAGTAATTAAGAATATATGCATGTCAAGTCAAGCATCAAATTACAAATGCCTACTAGTGAATGGTGAACTTAGCAAAAGAAGTACTTCATACAAACATAGATGTCTTCAGTAGTAAGAAGATATTTATCCTATTAACAAAGCCAACAACCGGTACGAACATGTTATTATCAATTACAAATGTAGAAAAGAAGATGAAACAAACCTCGTCAAGACTGAACCATAGATGAAGTTTGACAATAGAGCACATATAAAGAATACATCAGATAGAGGCCTCTTTCCCATCTCCTTGTCTACTAGAGCTCCAAGAATAAGGGTCTCCATCTCAAAAAGCAGTGGATCCCTTATCTGCGGGGGGAGCCATACACTTGGATGGGTTTGGGATGGGAAAACCTGAACATGACCATAATGTCTCAAAAAATATATGAAATTAATCAATCCCAACAAATGGGGTGCTTATAAAATTAATATTCCAGTACCTCAACGCTAGAGCTGGGATCAATATTAGCGAGAACTTCCACGGTGCAGTCAAATAGCCCATGCATACAATTGTGCTCAGATTCTTCTGGCTATAATCAGGAATGGAAAATCTAGTTTCAGATCAATTGGACGCCAACAAGTACAGTGACATTCAAAATCCAAATGAAAACCAAGGTGAATTAGCACATACCTTCTCTGAAGCCTCAGTAACACCTACAAAAGAGTAAGATAGAGGAAGCTCTTTACAGCATTGAGCAAAAGGAGCACTACCAGCACACAGAGAATAAACAGCTGCAGGTAACAATAACACCAACTGCTCATTAAGCACAGAAGACTCCTGCACAAGAAAAACCGGTTTATAACTTGGCAAAAATATGACTTCTAACTACAAAGTTTAGCAAGTTGAAAGCATGTGCACTTCAAAGGGGTGAATTAACAGAGGCTCCATGGAATCATATAGGGGAACTTCACACAACTTGGGTTCCATTGCGTCATATAAGTGAAAAGCCCCAAGTCAGCTATATTTTTGTAATAAGGCAAGTGAGATAAAAAGCTTCCTTGAATAAACTACCATTTTCAAAAATTTCTACAGCTTTAGTTTGTTTCCATAACACCTTCGAGGCATATAACAAACAGTCTCAGTTTCATTTTTTCATACCAAGAAATTCCACAAATCAACTTTACGGACTCGGCTTAGATAGGTGCCTAGAGGAATTGAACACCAAACCACAGGCCTCACCATTCAACTAAACCCTCATTGGTAACAAACAGTCTCAATTGAACAGTGTTCCAATGCATTTTGGAATCAATAACATTCTCGTTACTACAGAGTATAGGAAAAACTTCACTCTGGACCTTCTGGTCATATATGATATGTGAGTAAACACTGCCAATTCACACTGGTTCTAACAAAAACAAGATTAATTGAAGAACTAAGAATACCACATATTCAATTAAAATTAAAGTAACAATACCATCCACTTAAGTTGACCCAAAACTGATCTCAGGAGGTTTTTTCTCAGATGTAAAATGTCTCGAACATCACCCTGCACAAACATGAGGATGGTTATATAAGTAGACAAACAAGGCTACAAATATGACGGAACTTAATTTGTCTATCTTGTAATGTTCACTATGATAAGGCAATTTCAAATGCCTTTCAAGAAACTAGATGAAATATACTGCTTGCATGTTTTACAAGTAGAGGTAATAATGAAACAAATGGTTATATAAAGAGACAAACCAGGCTACAAATCACCCACTTACTTGTGAAACTTTCTTTGAGAAGTAACACGAAATAAAATACAAGACAGACCTGAAATAAAATCATAATCATACAATTAGGCAACCTGCATCACAAGAACAGCATCACATATGGTCACCATAGTAATTTAATTGGCAGGCAATGCTTGCACTTACACTGATGGCATTTGTTTAAATAACCTAAGATCCCAAACATCCTGAGGTACAACACATGTGTAAATAAGATCCTGGAAAGAGAAAGTGTGAATTAAGAAGACTTTAGAGCAAATTTATACAAGTGACAGTACCTAACTGCATAAAATATTCGAGAACAATCTAAAGAACACACATTATCACACTCACATTTGATATTATGTTTCCAAGGAGCACCATAGCGGCATCTACCTGCACAAAGGCACACAAAATGAACAAAAAGCAAAATCTTGACAGAAGTTCAGAAGTTCCAAAAGTAACTTGAGATC